CAATGCTGCAAGCGTTCGCTAGTTGAGAGGGAGGCGTACTGAACTCATCGTTTCAAAAGATTGCGCCTGCGTAAAAAGCAAGGCAAACATGAGTTGTTTCTTGTTTCGACTATGGCGACGTGTTTTGTTGAATAGTTGGTGAGAAATTAATTATTGGAGGCTCACTAACATAAACTCGTCAACGAAATATTGTTTGTTAGAGAAATACGTGCATCTTGTGGGTATCCACCTGAAAATGAACTTCGTTCTTACGAAAGTTATTTTTAGCAACTTCTTCGCAAGGGAAAATGCAGCAATCTCTCGACCCTGTAAGGACAACCAGCTGTCGAGATCTTGTGCAATATTAACCTACCATGTTTTGCAAAGTATGCGTTTGTACGAATGTACGGCAAAGGGCGATTCGGGCATTTGTACAAGGCGCCAGCATTTCTTAATCCACTCATAGGGCTCAAGTAATGTTCACTTTCGGTGGCGCATTGAAAAGTTATGTACACGGCAAGTTCTGTTCTCGTAAAATTTCAGACACCAGCAAAAAAAGAATGAAGAAGGGAGAGAGAAACAAGTATATAAAGGAAAGGCAGGGAGGTCTACCGGAAGAAGACTCCAGTTTGCTATCTTTTGTATAAGAAGGGGAAAGGGGTGTACACGAGTGAAAGAGAAGAGTTGGTGACTGTAGGCAGGAAAAATGTAGCGACTGGAGCACTATTCGAGTACTATAGGAAGCAACGTTGCTCGCAAACAGCCGGAGTCTGCCTCTTAGTCCGCTTGCTTGCAGGAACCGCAACAACGCCTTCAGGGCAGATCGGGATGCAGACCGGCAAGTCCAGGGCCCCACGATTTTGTTCTCTGAGAGGGGGCGGCTGTCCAGATGGCCTAGAGCGATTGAGAGGGTTGCTCTTTCGCAGTTGAAGCGGGTGCTGAAGCGTTGGCGGTATACAGTCTTATAAATTCACGTCACTGCAACGTCAGGTGAATTAGTATTAAAACAAGCTGCTCTATAAATTGTCGTTCACGTTGTGTTATCTGGCTTCCGTGATATATCTCGATAGCAACATAACAGTGGCGACGATGGACCCACGCAAACATGAGTGCTGGGAAGCCGCCAGGATCGAGAGGAGCGGATGGTACCTGGCCGACGTATCCTGTTCACCCGGAGGCTTATTTTGAATCCCATAACATTGCAGGTGAAACAAATAAAAGATCACTCCTAATATCGTCACTCACGGACAGCACAGTGGCCGTGGGGTAGGGGCGGCGCCACCCGAAGAAAGCCAACGAACTCAGCTACGACGAAGTCGTCAGGCATTCCTAAGGACATTGCGCCCCTCAAGTCAACAAAACTTCTGCAAGATATGCCTTCTTCATGCGAGCACAAAAAGCCGGTGAGACTGTTCATGAGTTCATTGCCTAAATTAAAATGCTGGTGCAGAAGCGAAATTTCCAGACATCGTTAGAACGAATGTTGAGAGACTGAATTGTGTGTGGCGTGCACGATGAAGACGCTAGGCGACATTTATTGACTCAACAGAAGGTCACGCTAAAGCACGTAGACTGCTTCACCGTTTAGGCACAGGAAGTCGCGGAGAATGCCCAAATGATGCACTCTACGGAGCAAGCAAGCTGCGATACGTTTCGCACCCCAACGAAACCAAACTGGCAAGTTTTGGCTAAAGCCAGATACGCGTTGCCGATGTGGTGGTGAAAAACATGCCGACGGTGAATGCAAACGCCTGCGTATGGTGCGCCGCAGGTGTGGCAAACGAAGCCACCTGAGCAGAGTGAGTCATTCAGCCACATCTAATCACGGACAGCAGAAGCCACATGTGGATGTATAATGAAAAGAGGCGTACGCAACGACAGCTGAAGGCTGAACGAATCCAGACGTTAGCAAGGGCTTGCACATCGTAGAGGCGGTCCTGCACCAAGAAGCAAGTATCCCCAAGGTTAAACCTATTTATAGAGTCGCCAGCTGTGATAGCATGCCTCTAATAATGTTGGTGGACACCGGATCTCCTGTAAACGTCATTTTAACAGCGGCGTCCTAGAACTATGAAATGAAGTGGCCGCCGCTGCGAAATATGCAGCTAAAACTATCCCACCCATTGGGTGAACCTCCCGTGCTGGGACAACTAAGCACGACTGCCAGATACGACGGGAGCGATATGCAAGGCACGGTTATAGTGGTGGACAGCTCAGGAACGTCATTATGTGGTAGAGACACGATAAACGCTTTCAACGAAATCGCAGTTTTCATGCTGACAAAGGTCATCGCGAGTGTACAACCGATGAAGGTCTAGAGAGCCAGCACGGAACTGTCTATAACTCCACTTAGTCAACATGCTGACGTCTTTGCTCAAGGTCTTGAACTTTGCAAAGTATCACCAGTGACCTCTCAAGTGAAAAAGAAAAAAAAAGAAACGTTCCGTAGTTTTTCAAGGCTCAGACTGTACGCTACGCGTTGAGGGACAAGATGTCGAAAGCGCTGGATGATGTAGTATCTCAAAACGTCGTCATGCCAGTGAAAATCGCTGAGTGGGCAACACCAGTCGTACCCGTCATAAAGGAGAATAGGTCACTTAGACTCTGGTGAGACTTTCGAACGACTGTCAATGCGACCACTGTAACGAAAGAGGATACGTATTGCCGCGAGTGGGTGACATTTTTGCGAAACTGCACGGTGGGAAAAATTTCACGACGTTGGACCTGCGCCAGGCCCACAATCAGCTACCACTGGATGAAGACGCCTTGAAAGTGTCAGTTTAGAAGACAAAAAGGTCATTTTTTGTTTTAAGTGGCTCCATGTTGGCGTAAGTTTCGCTCCGGCCACATCTCAGAGACGAATGGACGTGCTCCTGAGCGTTGCTCCAGGAGCACTAGTGTACCTCGATAATACTATTGTTGTCGGAAAGCGAAATGACCTGCAACGGCTGGGGAAAGTCCATCAAAAATGGTCTGCATATAGTTAGTCTTTGGTTTCACAAAGAAAAATGCACGTTTCGGCAAGGTGAGATTACCTTTCAAAGTCATCGTATTGACGCTTAAAGTCCAAAGACGAGGATGTCAAGGCTGTCCGCGAAGCACCGGAGCTCACTTTGGGGAGTGAGCTGCTCAATGAATCGTCGTTCTTGTTGTGTTATCTGGCTTCCGTGTTGTATCTCGATAGCGGCATAACAGGTGCAGCCATAGAGCAGGTGCGTGACTGTTTTGCTGCACGCACCTACTTCCAAAGACGGGCTGCCCGCATTCCTATCAGAAATAAATAGGTATTTGAGAACAGCACTCCAAGCCACAAGAGGGCCAGCGAAGTAGTGTCACGACGGTATAGGCTGAGCGGCAGACGAAGCTGGAGGTCAGGGCCAAAAGTATGAAGCCATGCACTGATAAGTGCTGGGGAATTCCCAAAGTGTAACGTTAGACGACGGGCTAGCATACAAAGTTCTTTGTTCTTTAATAGCGGCGGATATTGAAAGGGGATTGGTGACACTGCTGACACCGTTATGACTAGATCGCGCAGCAGTGTCCGCTTGGCCATTGCCCTTAACGCCACAACGACTAAGCAGCCGCTGGAATATCAATTCATGCCCTTTTTCAATCAATTCATGGTGGTGATGCCTGATTTCTGATCATGGGAACCATGGCGTAAAACGTATGGTACACTTTGGAGGGCTGCTCTACTACCACAAAAGATGGCCCACGAATTAGGTATCTACTTTATAACACACTCAAGAGCGGCATGGAGGGATACAATTTCAGCTGCTGTAGTTAAGATTGCATCACACATATTCAGTTATATTATAAGGGATCTTGCTGGAAATATTACGGTAGTGGTGGAGTTTGTAGCCATAACTGAATAGTTCGTGTAAATATTCGTGTTAGCACTGTACGCCTCATGTAAATACAATAATGTGACCCGTATAACTGACATTCTTGACTTCATCGTAACATCTGGTACGTTAAGAAGCACTTGAGGTCGACGTAAGCGCTATAAAGGCATGCAAGGGAGTCTTGCTGCAGGCGTATAGTTCGACGGCAAAGAAGTACTATGGCCAGGAATAACATGACTCAGTGTTGTATACGGCCTTTATGCAGGTAAATATGCCAGATAATGTGAAGGTACCCGAAAGATGTGTCAAACATGCACCCTGAGAGAATTCGTAGTTATGTACGAGATCATAGTATTGACACGTGCGGTTCGTAGTATTGACAGTATGATCTCCAGCCATGACAATTGTGCCGCTCTTAGCGTGATTATGAATTGAACAGCTCAGTAGTTTAACGGGCTTCAACGCCTTGAGACTCTCCGTGTTGTGGTAAAAACTGTGGCATTCTGCTATTGCGGTAGCTGGCTAAGGTTGGGCAAGCATACGGCATGCATTGAAATCAAATGCTGAGGCAGAGTGAATTGAGGTAAATGTTCTAAACACATACGGCTTTTGTTGGCGACACTTTAGGTTCTCGTGCGAGCAAAGAACTTCGAAGCATTCTTATTTCTGCATTGTGGGCTTCCTAGAGTTCTGTATTCAGTACCACTCTTTCCTTACGTGATAGCCCACTCACACATTTAGAGACACTACGTTCAGTGAAACGTTCGATATTGTTTCTTTGTAAGGTGTGGCACCGCCACAAACGCTATATTCACAAGAAACTTCACATTTATTAGATAGAAGAAATGCTGGCCACGTTATACACCCGAAAACAATTATTTCCGGCAGAAAGATGAAGTTACCTGAAAATACTGGCTTCCTTGTGTAGTAGTTTTTTAGGTAGTCATGAATGAAGAGTTAGGTTTTGTTTTTCTTATAGCAGGAATTCCCACCGCCATGTACGAAGCTTTTGTGGTCGCGTATTTCGTCGTGAGTGTATATAATGTGCCTCACAGAGCATTTCAATTAGCCATAAAGCCCAGAGGCTGCTAACCACCATCTAAAACAGACCGTGCAGCTCGAGACGGCTGCGGCTGCTAATATACTTAAAACTGCGCCCCTCATCATTCAACTCACCTTGCCGAAGCTGCCCTTGCCGAGAACCTTGAGCAGGTTGAAGTCTGTGAGGTTGTACTTGCGGAACTTGACTCGCTCTTCCTGCGTTGGTGTCTGCGGCGCCGACCGGCTGCCCGGAAGTGGAGGACGAGAGGCTGATTCCGCTTCCTCTGCTCTCCTCTCTTCCTCCTTGCGCTCCTGTTCTTTGTAGTACAGCTGCTGGCGAACTTCTGAGAGGTCCGCGATGGTCGATGACCGACGTGGCGAGGCAGGCAAGGCAGACGTCTTCGCCGCCTCTTCCTGGGCAGCGGCCGCGCGGGTCTTGCCTCCACCTCCTCCTCCAGGTGTCCCCGCTGCTGGCGGAGAGGTCGCCATATCTGAGAGATAACGGCGTGTTATGGAATGTGACGAACACATAACGTTCATCTAGTGTGGAGGCATTCATTTCGATTCACTACCAGAAGTTAGTACAGACAGAGGATTATGGAAGAAATTGACACACTAACACAATGGCGTTTGTAGGTTGTCAGGTTCTTTTGCTTCCGTATGTGTGCACGTTTTGCCTTCGCCATCTTGAATTTTGCAGTTATGACACTGTCCAGTGAAGGCTATCTTCCTATTGGGTAATAATGAAGTCCCTAGATTTTTTACTTTAGGTGAGAACACAGAAAAAAAAACTGCAGACTTTAGCTAATACAGGAACTTTTCTATTTAGGTACCCAAGCATGATAAGTGGGGAACTTCCTAAATCTTTATATTGCTTAATACAAAACAGGTAATGATTGGACTTGCCGTTTAAGCACAACTACTTTTTCGCCTTTGACATTCATTACTGGGGCTACATAACAATAGAAATATTCAACTATGGAACATTTTAGCGAAACTTCTGGAGACGTGCATGCTGTAAAATTGTAGAAACACCGTTGATCACTTCGTTCAGCAAATTTGCTATTAAATTAAGGAACGATAGCCTCAAAATAATTTTTCTGACAAACAATATCTTACGACGCTCTGCGCGAATCTGAGGGCACCCACATGACCAGATTTTTTTTGAAAATGTTCTTGTTGGTCACTGTTCTAATCCGCAGAATCAGCGCCATTTTTTTGGGATACATTTGATACGGTTGCCGAAATTAATTAAGCGTTTGGCGTGACCGATTGGCGAGCCACGCTCGCACAGTTTTTTGCCCATGAGCTTGATCCTTGTCGCAATAAGCTGGTGGCATTCTTCCACAAACGTGAATGCATTCGATGTGGACTGCTGATCCGGAGTGTCGGTTTGGTTCCGTAGCATAGTGCTCCGTATGCATGAAGGTTCTCGTGCGTACGACAGCAAGAATGACGAAAACCAAGTGTTCGCTTTGGAAGCAGTGTTGTACTAATACCTAACAAGACGGAAATCAGCGTTGCATTTGGATTAACCGAACAGGACGTAAGCAGTTAGTATGCCGCCAAAAGTGCCACAAGGGAGCTCCGTTAACCGATCAGTTAAAGAATGATAGAATAGAAAAAGTGTGGTTTTCATTCTTGCTATATAGCTTAGTGAGTGCCTCGGGTGCCCTTGAAGTTCACCTGCATGACTAAACCTTTCACAACGAGGTTGCACACGCATTAAAGATCAATTCAATTCCATCTGAATCAGCACAACAGCGGTGGAGGTGTTATCCGACTTGCAGTGTCCGTATCATTGCTACAACAGAAAAGCATAGTGACTACTCGGGTAGCTCGTCTAGGCACATCACTGAACATAAAGGATTGCGCATCGCACATCCTTCAAATCTTGTCTCGTCCTCATCCTATACTCCACAGCGGAACAAGAAATCATGAACCACCGCTAGCCAGCCGAGTTTATCGCTCTGCTAAACGTTTTTTTTTACATTACTAGGTGTAAACCTAATGTCGACATATAGTATATAGTACGAGAACAAAACAAAAATTACACACCTCGTAGTGCACGTCACCAAGCTCAAAACGAGCTCTGACAAAACACGAGTGGTCCTACTACGCTCGTGTTGTGTCGTCGTGTGGCCTGCTAATACGCACCACGATGACGCACTCACATACCGTATTGCACATAGAAGCAAGAATGAAACGTAAACGAAAACGTACAGAAGAAAGGCAAGAATGCGAAAATGAACGATCGCTTTTGACAAAGCGTAAACAGGCGCGGATGGCTGACGTTTCGGCAAGTGGACTTGTCTTTTTCAATGATGCAACTAATTTCTTTAGCACCTGTGTATGTATGCTTCTTATCCTCTCCTCCATACAAACAGAGCAGGAGGAGAGGGCAACTGCGATTGGAGGGATGTTGGGGGCCAAGTCCTTCTTTTGAAAATTTCTATTTACTAATGTGCAGTGGGGCTTTCTTTGGGCAACTAATATTCAGCGACGTCAGCGATCCCTGCCCCCCACAACCCGCAGTTTTTTTTCACGAGTTATCTTCTTATGGACAATGGTGTAAGAACAATAATTTTGGTGTGGACACTCCACCCCACGGCGCATCCTGATAATGTTCGGCGCTTTCATTCCCACCATCCTTTATTTAGAGACCTTAGTCCAGCCCCCATGTCGCAGCACCACCCACGTGACTGTGGCCGACGTATGTACTATAGATAACGAGCTGCGCATTTAGCGTCCGTAACAGCGTTGCGTACGGGAGAACAGTGTGGAAGCGACTGCTGTGTTTGCCGCACGTAAAATTTTCGGCAGTGAAAAACGCCGCCTGTGACTCCAGCATTTTGAACAGTAGACTTCAAGGTGCTTTAAAAAATACAAGGAATATGGTGGCATGAGGATGAGTGGGAAAAGGTCTGGACGTAAATGAGAAGTGTGAAGTCACGCTCATCGCAGGGTCTTAGCACGCCACCAAAGAGCATTTGCAAGTAGAGCACATTGTGGATTCCCTGTGATCTTCCTAATAGGTGGCGGCAAACTCCCGCTGTAGAATGGCAATGCCGTTGGCGCGGAATCGGTCGTTTCTGATGCTGGAGATGGTGGCCAAACTGTCGTGTAACCACAAGCGATCGTAAACCTAAACTACGATCTTGAAAGCGGCGCTAAAAGCACGCATCGGCGCCATCAACATCGGTTAGCGATCGCTTCAGGCGTTTGGGCGCTGCATCCCTCGCCCGCACCGCCTCAAGATCTGCTTGCCGTCGATTCGGCACCGCCACCGCTTCGCGGGCTCTCGGCTTCGGATCCGGTTGTCTCTGTGCGTGTTTTGCCATCGTTGCGCGAGGCCTCGCCGCATCCGGATCGGTGGCCTATTCTTGTTGATGGCAAGCCCGTGTTGCTCCGGCTCCTCGAGCTCTCAGTTCCGAATCTTGAAGGCGAGCCCGCGCTGCAACCACCTTGTGGGCCCTCCACTTCACCACATTGTCTCCTTCGTTCATAATTATAATATCGAAGCGCACAGACTGACGACTATCGAGAGACAGAGAAAGAGGGTTCGCTGACAGGTAGGATAGGCACGTAGGAATGGATAGAGCGCCACAGAGGTATCCAGTGGGCGATCGAGTACTAGCGCCCGATTACGACACGACAGTGGACAAGCCTCGACCTGAAAAACACTCTAGAAAAGAATGATGACTTGGTTTAGATTGTTAAAATGCAGTCTGTGAACTCTTAAGCCGTATGTTTCACCATCGTGAATTCATTATTAATCTAGGTAGAAATTTAATTTTTAAATCTCGTGCCAAAATCTTCGTGCATGACGTGAAAATTTTCAAAATATATTTTTTTTGTAATTTTCGTGGCGTTGGCTCAATGAAATTTCATGAAACTTCATATGCCAAGTTGATGGAACCCACGGATTACAATGTATTTCATTTTACTCCATTCGAAGCTACGTAGGACACTGTAAATACCTTCGAAATTTCTTAAGTCATGGTGTTTGGTACGGATATGCCAAGGTGGCGACGTCGCTCACTTGCTCTTTTTGCGCACTTTCTCGTTTACTAAGTGTCGTCTTGTGGTAAGAGTGGTGTTTTCAGGATTGTGATCTTATGCTGTACTATTATGCGAAAACCGTTTTGCTTCTTATTATTCCTTTAGGGAGCTTCTCTCCTAAAAACGCCAGGCCTGCGTGGTAGGCACAGCACCGTCACAGCAAAATCTAGAAGAGTGGCCTTTCAGAGCCTTTGAAAACACTCATTGCGTAACTACTGCAACCACACTTGCTTGGTACCCACTAGGGCATTAATAATAAACTTTTGGGTAGTAGGCCGGCATTCGCTATGCTATTTTTCGTCATTATTCTGAGAAGCGTGGTATTCGCTAAACACTTGCTAGGAATTTTGTGCCAATTGTCCATGCAATGGCTGACGACGATGAGAAATTATGACTGAAGTGGGTATGCGCCACCGTTAATAGGGAAACAAGAACCAGCTTTTGTAATGGGTTGGAGCATTGGACGGCCTATTCGTTACGCTAATCACATTGTGCGACGACTGGTTGTTATTTTCCTGTTGTAAAACGCTTTATAAGTTTTATTAACGCGATTGCTTTCCCTACATCAAGCCTGCCTAAGGCAAGTTTGGTAACAAGTCATAAGCACCGGAGTAACTCAGTGGTATAATACTGGGCTGGCACCCGGCGGACCTGGGTTCGAGCTCCACTATGCCATTGGTGCTGGGTCATGCCTGCCAAAGGCAAGCTTGGCAAGTCACAAGCACTGGCGGAACTCAGTGGTAAAATATTGGGCTGGCACCCAGTGAGCCCGGGTTTAAGCCCCAGTGTGTCATTGATGCAAGTTTTTTTTTTCAAATGTTATGCGATGTGGTTACGGACATCGGTGGTGGCGGTGGCGGGCAACATGCAACTGCGCGTGACCCGAATTGTGATCTCATAACAGCTTTCGCTGTAAAAAAAATGGCCCCGTATTTGCATGTAGTCTGCAAATGTCGCTGAAAGACGATAGTCTTGCGTATGAAGAGAGTGAACAATTAATTTAATGTTGTGCGCAAGAAAATCTGTGAATGGTATTTTGGAGGCGCTGCGTCAGAGTGCCTCGAGCGTGCAGCGGAGGCGAACGAGCGCATCAAGTCACGTGACACGTGAAACATAAGCGCCACCAGGCAGTCTTCTTGCAAAACAAAGCGCGTGGCTCTGAGACGGGTGTACGCGCCCGTCTCAGAGGTGATAAGGTGAGGAACGCAAGGCGACGGGTAGGTGCCACCACCATCGCGTCTTAGCAAAGTGTTGGAAACACTCACCTTTTCTTGCAAGCGTTGCATGGTCAGCGTAGCGTGATAAGCGTTACGGTCCTTAAAATTACTTCTGTATGCGTTTTCTAGTAAAAAATGAACATGCAGAATATACACGTGTTGTTATGGTGCCCCAGGTTAGTGCAATAATTGCTAAATAATTGACAATTGCACAAGCATGAACGCTAAATCTTGAGCAACAATGGTGGGCGCTGCAGATGAGGTCGGCTGTTTCAAGTACCCGGTGCCATTAGGAATGGACAAACAGACAAGTGTACAGACCGACAGACAGACAGACCAAAGTTTTTGCGTCGAAGGTCCCCAAGAAAAACTATCGTCTTTAAAAACGTGCGTCTGTTTTGCCACACTCATTCCCTTTAGGCCCCCCATGTTGCAGCGTCCTTCACTATAGCACCACGATGCCATGGCCAACGCATGTACTAAAGCCAAAAATTATCCGGACTCAGTGTATATCGCGGCGGGTGGATCATACTCACAGCTCAATTATTTTTTCGGCTTAAAAACATTTATTAAGACCTTGTAAGAAACAAAAAATTAGTAACACTTCAGTAGTCAGGGTAATACCAGAAGTGTGTTTCGTTGGGCTAGTTTGTCAAATATGGTAATAGGTAAAAACAGTGCCAACTAGAAGAGGCGAACAAAGAAATAAGAGACAGAACGAGCGCTGACTAACAACTGACGGTTTTATTGCTTAGAATCAACATAAGGAAAATGTTGTGGGGTAACAAGTCACGTGAACGCTCAAGCCATTCGATGTACGAACAATGTGCAAAACCTGTTAATCGTCAAGATTACACGTTAAAGAGTGCACTTAGGCACATGAGAGATGGTTATTCTCTTCTTCGCTTAGTTTTACAGATGGTTAGCTAACACGTATCTCCCCATAGTTAAATCGCGATAGCATCGGCTATCAGACAACCGTGCACGCTTGGGTATCTAAACACGACTGTGCAGTCTCTGAACTCCGAAAAAAGTGTTTTCTTGTCGATTAACAGTTTTATTACCTTGTCCGTCTTTTTTATTTTATTAAGCTAAAGAAGGAGCTCACCTTTCTTGACCGTGGCGAGGACCTCGGAGAGGAGCTTCTGGTTGACCCCGCACAGGTTCGCCATGTGCTTCTCGCATTTTTTGTGGCAGTTGACCTTGCACTCTGCGTGAAATACGGCGGAGAAAAGGTGTCAAAATGGCATTTAAAGCCACTAACTTCTTTCTCCGAGACAGAATATACACTATGGTCAATACGGTGGCACATCTACGTGGCGTCTTTAGAAGCAGGGCCGGTACAATGTGAAGATACCAAGCAGGCTTAATATCCTCGCTCATATGACAGCATTCTACGACCTCAGACTCTTTCATTTATGGCACTTGGTGCGTAAACTTAAGAAGGACACTTTAAGGCATGAGTGTAGACGTTGAGCACGTACAGGCTTTCGAGAATGCCTTCTTCAATACCAGATGCTAACAATATGAGACAAAATTTTAACTTTCATCGACTTGCAACTGGCCGAATGTAAAGTCAAGAAAGGCTTGCGAATTACGCGGTCAAACGTGCAAAAACTACTCAGACACCACCATTTTTGGTTTTAATGTTTTATTTTCTTCCTTCTATATAGAACTTTGTAGTCTTAGCGCAAGTGCATAGAGGGCATATGTGACACAGGTATATTTGGAATTTCCTTTTGTGCCTTAAAAGTGTAGTGAACAAACAAGCATTTATTCTGTCGCCTGAGTACACAGTGATTTAGTGCTGTACTTGTAACATGCCCAGTGATCTTGAATGATGTCATGAGATATCCCAAGATGTACCCAAAATATTGTCGCTGAAGGACCTGCCACCTCTAGTTGGTGGAAAAAATTGCCCGCAGCTTCCCTCGGGGGAACACTGAGGAGGATGCGGACCATATAATTGGTTAACGGGGTGTTAAAGTGCGACTTACTTGGGTCGATGGCTAAATTGGTTAACGTGGTTGTAGGAGGGGGTGTTAAATGAGTGAACACGTACACACGTATGCGAAAGGGCGGCGCTGGTCGAAGGGACGTCGATCATTGTGTTTGTGGATTCGTTGGAATTCATTTCACCGCGACCTTGGACGTCGACGCGCCGTACAAACCAACCGACGAGCGGCAACTGAGCGAGCGAGCGCCGACCTTGAGTATATATACAGCACGACGGCGCATGCACTGTCAGCTGTTGAATGTTCTCGAAGCGCGACGCCACATGCGCGTCCATTGGAGAATCAGGAGAATTGTAGATGTCGAACGCGGTGTGTAGAGGAGGAAGGGTGCACAGATGGTGGAGGAGTGAAGCGCGCGCGGTCTGTAGAGGAGGAAGGGATGCACAAATGGTGGAAGAGTGGGCGACGGCGCATGCGCGCGCGTCAGCTGTCGAATGTTCGAGAAGCGGTGCGGACGGCGCGGACGGCGCGGACGGCGCACTACAAGGCGCGAGTATAAGATGCTCCGCATCTAATAAACTTTAGTTCACTTGACCCCATAGGGGCACGTACGTTCACACTAAAACTTGAACCATTGCGCACCTAGGGCTTGTCACTGAGTACGGCCACAAAGTTTACTGTTGCACTTTGAACAGTGTCAAAGGCAAAGAACTCTTCGCTAAGCGGCGTAGCTGTGCAATGCTTCTAAGCCCCCCTCCTCCCGCTTTCTGAGAAAACATTATCAGCCCAAAATATTTGTCACGCAGTTGGCACATTTTGGAAGTACCGCGACCAGATATTGTATGAACGTCGCTCACATGCCTCCACGACGTCTTGAAAATCATTTGATTGAGCTGCCAAATCAACAAGAAAAACTTAATGCGAAATCATGAAAAAATTACTTTTCGCTACGCTAGTCTACCAGGTTTGTGTGGCGAAAAAGGAATTTTCATATACGCCACCAGGTTACGTACAATTGTTCACAGATGGGTCGCAGTACGCAGATAGTCAATGTTGCACATTTTCACAGGCTCCGCACGCAATGTTAACAGTCACTGATTAAAATATTCGTGACAACGGCATAACGTCATTCTTCTGTGTTTATTCTTGGTGTGTGGTAGTTAAGACGCCCTGTGTGTGTGTGAAAATATTGATTTTTCGAACATTGTCGAGTAACTGAGTGATAGCGACGAAGGATTCACGCCATTTTTGTCATATTTATGTACCAGTTCCTACGCCAGTAAGTCATACCATAATGGTTGTGCGTGAACAGATTATTTATGTTAACAACCCACACGAATTCCTAAACTCTCGTTTGTCGAGTGAAAAAAAATTACATATGGACTAGACGGTGCGCCTCTGCCCTCTTCCTCTTTGAAATTGTTTTCGGACGCCTTCGAAGACACCAGCTACGCAAGAGGAAATGCCTCTTCAAATAATGAAGCCAAAGTTTGATTGCTTGGGAATGGCTGGGAACGTACATGTGTCGTTGCTCATGTGAAAAACAAAACAGCAGCTGCAGACCCGAGCCATTCATATGTTGGGGGAACCTTAACCTCAAAATTGGCAAACAATGAAGAGCATTGATATTATAGAAGCTGAAAATATGGGGCTCAATATAGTCCCCCGTTCCTTTCCTCAAGTTTTGTTATCGCCTTGTTACACTACGTTCTGCACAAAGCGCGCCTACGATGTTCGTTCGAAAAGCTGCGAGGCCGTAGTAGATAGTTTTGATGAGATTACGCCCACTTAGTGAACATTTCAGATTATTCTGGAACCTACGTCACCGCTAGCGATAACGCTAGAATACTCGACGGCAAGGGTATAAATGCCGACACGCTTCGCCGCTTCGCAGTTGATCGACAGCCGACGCTCCGTTCGCCGCTATCAGTGCAAGACTGCAAATCGACTTTCCGTTTACTGGGTACAGGTTCGCCCGAACAAACAGTTCATTATTTGACTCGCAGTATGCTCCATTTGTCCACGTCACGACCCCGTGACATCTGGTGGAGGTGCTTTCCCGCCCATGTACCGAACGCCTCCTTCCAGCCGTGATTCGAGCCCAGACCGTCAAGGTGACATCGACGCCAACGCTGAGCAGCGAGCCAGAGGACTACCGCCGGGTTTCGGGCCTCTACCTGACCCAACCCGGAAGACTAAAACCCTGAACCCGACCACTGCGACGATGACAGCTCCTGTACCACCTGTACCCATCCTGCTCTAGCAGACTAAGAAGCCTCCCACTTTTCGGGGATCATCGTTTGAAGACCCAGAAAGCTGACTGGAGACCTACGATAGAGTCGCCGCCTTGAAGAGATGCGACACCGACGAAAAAAAATGGCAGCATATTTACGGAGTGAATGATGGATAGTGGGGCGAAGCATCCGTCCGTCCATTCGTTCTTGCTTCCGTCTATCCATGCGTGCGTCTGTGTTGCCGCCCGTGCGTCCATCCGCCCGTCCGTGCGTGCGTCTGTTCATGCGTCCGCACGTTCTTCTGTGCGTCCGTCCCTGCTTTCGTTCATGCATCCGCTCCTGCGTCCGTTCATGCGTCCATCCGTCCGTGCAGCCATCCGTGCGTCCGTCCATGCATCTGTCTGTGTGTATGTTTGTCCACCTATTCAACACTCCAAGTACCACCCTCTCGCCATCTTTTCATCATATATTCCGCATATAGAAGCACCGCCTTCCAGTGAACATTCCAAGAAGTAAACGAGAGGCGGCACACGCACACCTTCTTACAGCTTGCACTTCGGGTCTACTTCCCACCTTTAACCACCTCGACTTCATGGTGTGTACTAGTTCACTGTATTCATGGCACTGCGGCCCGACGCTCGCTAAACCTTTCTAAAACCAAGGAGGTTACGTCCAGTGAGTATAACGTAGCAACCTTTTCTTGTCAGATAGTGCTCAATGTACATGCCAATGGTTGCTAATGGGGTATGAGAGAAAGGAGAATGTGGCTTTCAGTTAACGAGCACGCTGTGAATTTTTTATTGTTCAACAACGCACAGGAGAAATTTCCCACCTGAACCACCTTGCAGGTCAAAACGTAATACTGGTTATACACTACGACTACGACTACTACAAGAAACGAACGGATGCCGCTTTAAGGAGCTTCGCCCCTAAAATGACGTTCTTTGCCTGCCTGCTAAAAGAAAAGAAACACGCACAAACGCGCAACGCATAGCAAGCGGTTACTCTTCACGTGTTTTAGCTCAATGCGGCACGCACGTCGCCTCTGCGTTCATGAGTCAGCTCCATGTGGCGGTACGCGAGTGAGAACAGAGAGGTTGAGTAAAGGAATAGAATGAATTAATGAATGAATAAATGAAATCGTGATTTTTGAAGAAGGGAAAATGCACCTTATTTCTGTCTGCCTGATTGACGATACGGTGTCTTATAGCGGACGGGACAAGGGGGGTAAATTTAGTAAAATGATAAAGAGAGCACTCGCCACGCAGGAGTGAAGAGAGAAGAAATATGAAAGAAGGTCAAAGGATTCCGAGGACGGGGCACCAATCGACGAGAGCTACGCTGGCGTCGGACATCATGGGCGACACAACTGTTCACGTGGAGTCCAGGAAGCGGGTCGAATGAAAAGACGAGAGTTCTGCAGCCCCACTTGGGAGCACGGCTCAGCGCCTGTAGGAGAACGGGGTGAGGGTATTAAGAATGTAAAGAAGGGAGAAGAAAGGAGAAATGGCGTCGATGACGAAGGACGTGGCGGGCGGCTTCTATAGCTGGTTGTCCGGTACAGTGGCACCAAGAAAGTGAACAGCCACCTCGAATACGTGGTTGTGGTGACGTGCAGAGAAGAGGAGGTCTCTCTGTGTAGACGCGGGCAGACCCTTGCGAAGAAGTGCAGTGGACAAGATGCCTCATTGTGCGCGAAGCACTGAGCGAACACACAACAGCTGATCGGTGGTTCCATCTGCCACCCACAGAAGGCACGAGGCTCTGCAGCTCGCATGACTACGGGCGGCACGCCAGGAGCAGCCTACGCGTAAACGCAGTAGAAGGGACCTCTCTCTCCTCGTGAAACCACGGTCGAGGATGTTTATTGATTGATATGTGGGGTTTAATGTCCCAAAACCACCATATGATTATGAGAGACGCCATAGTGGAGGGCTCCAGAAATTTGAAACACCTGGGATTCTTCAACGTGCACCTAAATCTGAGCGCACGGGTCTACAATATTTACGCCTCCATCGGAA